CAAACAAATGACAAAACATTTTCATTCTTGTCAGTAATAATTAGTTTAACACCAGAGACAGTCACTGAGCTTAGTGCTGCAATGACGGTGAAGCAATGTTTCTGCTGGGATATCTGAATGAATGCCTCGTGCAGCAAAGGTGCACAGCCACACCTTTCAGTGGTGACAGAAGTAGAATCCTATTCACCAAAACCTTAAAGAAAATGCACTGGACAGGAGAAGTACAAAGTGGAAGTATTACGGGAAAATCCAGTGACACGCACACGTCAATGACAAAAACAAAATAACTCACTGAAATTACAAAACTGCAGCACGTTTGAGCTAATCCTTGCTTCTGGGTTGAGCATCCTTTACATCATCCGAGTTATTGCAACTGCCGCTGAAGTCAAGCAGAAAATATAGAGTAACTCCACGGAGACCCTGCGCCTTTAGCCAAAACAGAATGCCTGCCTACACATGTTTCCCTGTTACCTTCTGCACATTGCTACGGCTTTCACCTTGACAGACCATTAAGAAACAATTAATTGCTTTAGTGTTTAGAAGGGAGGGGGAATAAAAATAACCATCACACTTATGTCTCTTATTAATCAGATTATAAACCAAATGTTTCCTTTTACATTCTGGAATTTGAGGGTTCAGAGTCACAGTACTCAAATTCTGTCAAAATTCAATTGACATTCAGTACACCCACACAATTAAGGTACCACTGGAAAACAATGACATATATGTGAAATCACACACTTAAGCAAAAGGGGAATCAGACAGAATATACTGGAACAGGTTCCCAAGTCCTTTGTTCCAGGCTCAGTGTATGGATAAGCACAGGTATTGGCACTGCATCACTGCCCATCTCCCTCCCAGATAATGAAAATTACAGGTGACTGGACCTGCTGATTTGCATAAGGTAAGAAATACCTAAAATGCTATAAGAAAAATGTTCAGGCAAATACCCCGAATATCATGATAAGTCGGCTCAACGAAAGCAGGGGCAGCATCACACATCATCCTCTATGAAATGTTTTTTTTTTGTTAATATTGTTAGCATCTTTGGGTTTTGAAAAGCACTGCAAAAATCTAATTAATTAATAATAATAATAATAATAATAATAATAATAATAATAATAATAATATACAGACAAACAACATAGGCGGATGACAGACAGTCTCTCAAGACATCCTTTTTGATGTCACAAAGAAAGTGTTTTGTTAAACTACACAGGTAGGAATCAAAATTGGCAATAGTACTGATCCCCTTCAACAGAACTGCAGAGTAACTTACTGAAGCAAGAGAAGCGCATTTAAAATAACACTGTCCACGGGACCAAGGAGTTGACTTACTCTGCATTAGAATGCCAAAGACGTGTGATCTAAAGGAATTTAATTATGGTGTGATTGTTGGTGGCAGCATCTCAGAAATGGCAACCCTCCTGAGATTCCGGTACCAATGTCTATAAATGTATAGACAATGGTACAATAAAGAAACATCCAGGCAGGGGCAGGGCTGTTGTTAATACTTTGTTAATGAAATGGCCCAGAGGAGAATGGCCAGACTCGGCTAATAGGAAAGCCGAAAGCGCAAAAATAACAGTGCAATAAAACAGTGGTGTACAGTGGTCTGAATACTGACATACAAATTCTCTGGGAACAAATGGCGATCCCACATTATACTATGTAGGGATACCTAATAAAATGGCCTGACTACTTCCTGCAGGTACATGGCAGGTCAGTCTTTGGGTCCCAATCCTCAGTAACTGCTAAAGCAGTGACTTCCAACTCCAAAAACATCCACCTGCTGGAAAATACAGTCTGATTGCATTCCAGGTACTTAATTGTATAGCAGGTTTGACTATTTGTTGCTTATGCAAGAAAATCAGTCTTCAGTGTGCTCGGCCTGGACTAGAGACCGGCTGGTCAGTCTCATTATTTCTGATACTGAACCGGTCCGTTTTATGCATGCACCACAGGTCACACGCACAGTGGTGCAGGCAATAACCTCACAGCTGCCTGCACACTAACAGCCACACGATAAAATGTCATTAGCAAGCAAGTTCTTCATTGTGAGTGAAGACGACACAAAGACTGCAATCTGTAATACAAGTAAAGCCACAGTAAACCGTGGGGGTGAAGCATCAGAAGGTAAACTTTAAAATGATTATTAAACATATGCTACATAATCTTGAAAAGGAATAATCATCAAAATTGCAAAGCTAACCAAGGTGTTTTCCAACGAGTGTAAAAACGTTTCAGTGAAACTTTAACCCCCTGCGCTATAATGTCCGTACAGTATGAAGGTAGATTAAGATCAGGCTTTTTCATAACTTACTAGCGATGTAAGTATTGTATGTGCATAACATGCAATGTTGGTATTAATATCAACCTGCACCTATTATTTGGGAGAGTATATTAGACTTCACTTTTTTTGGAGGATTGCAAGCTGTGGACTTTAACACGAGTAAAAAAGAAGAAGAAAAAGGTCAAGCATCGTGTTCTGGTTAATTTAAACAAACTGGAAAATGATATACCGGTAAGTAACTGGCATTTGTTTTATTTAAATCTGTTGCACCGGCTCTTGTTTGGTAAAGTAAAATGTGTCAGATAAAGTAGGGTGTACAACAGCTCATTTTGGGTTAATTGTTATTTGTACCCTTTTCCAGTCACAGAGAATTTGAGACTTAAGCGAGAGAAAATCCTGAAATTTAGTGCAGTTTGAGGGAAATTGTAAAGTTTAGCAATATCTTTTACTATGAAAATAAAATTTCACATTGAAGGAAAAACTGATTTTTGTTTCTATATGCTGTCAATTATAGTTCTTAGAAAGAAAATCGGAATTGGCTGGTCACACCTGCAAACAGAAAAAAACAGAAATCGGAAACAGCCAAGAAAACGCATCATAATGGCAAAAATGCTGAAAAATTCAATTGTTGACAGCGAATGTGGTATTTTTTTGTCAGTGGGAAGATGCACAGGGCAGTGAATTACATGAGGATGTTGGTGAAACAAGTGTTTGCAAAATTTCTAGCTCCTGTAAAAGGCAACAGCACATATATAAACACACACTGGACATTCAACATGGGTTAAGTCAGAGAAAGTTCATATTCTGGTCGAGAGAATGCAACCGTTCACTTACGAAGTGAAAATGTAACCTAAATGTCACACCTGTGTGAGGAACTGAACCGAAAGATTTCCACAATGTAACAATACCCATGTATGCACAGGTAATGTTTGCATTTCAGAAGCGCGGACCGTTATGTTTTATTTATCGGTTCTCGGTGATCCTGTGGGGAAAATCCCGCAGGGAAACGATGTACGCGTGTCTGTGCATACTAAAGCACACAAAGATGGGAACGAGAACGAGCTGTTCACTGCTCCATCCATCAAAACAGCGGAAAAGGCGCGCATCCCAGCTGTTTGGTAGAGAGACGCGGGATTGCACGGCACAGTATCTGAATTCCATCGCGTCATGATGCCGATGCGATCCGACTCGCTTAAGGAACTACTAACGCAACAAGAACGATACTTTGACATACTACTTTACACTGTTATTTATACATAACGGGATATATATTCTTTCCTTTCACTATATAAAAACCAGCGTGGTGATAACGTGGGCACTCGCATGGTGCAACTGTCTGCACCCAGAGAGGCTGTATTGAAATGTCAACATAGCAGAACAAACTGCCATATGCCCCGCGATCATGTGCCCGTGCAATTCAAAACTGTGAAGGTGTAACACGAGTGAGAATTAAACATATGGAGCTGGTCATCAGAGCGTCCTTTCCTCGCCAGCCCGGCCACAGCGTGCCAGCCGCGGGGAGCAAACGGACGGGGAACGCTGCGACCAGCAATAATCACGGGCGGTACGAGATGGGCGTGTGACGGTCCGGAGGCAAACCCAGCGCTTTCCGAACGGCTCTGACCCAGTAAGACCACCATCCCAAGTTGCTTTAAAACGGTTTGGTAGTATAAAATTTAAACAGTAATAAAATGACCGTCTCGATGCTCACTGTGTGATGCCAATACACTACCGATCTCGTCCTTCAACAAGTATCCGAGAAGACAAAGGCGCTGCCTGCAGGAAAACAGCCCGCTTCACTCACCGCACATCTATCCATCCGTCTGTTCTCCGTGTTGAAAACTAGAAATCAATGTAAGGTTATACAAACTGACATGGCGAGGTAACTACATATCCATCTAAACTGGACACACACATGCGTTTGACAATAGGCGACGCGCGAGCCAGGTTAACATGCTGAAATGTCATCTGGAAACTGAAGGCAAACGATTCGCTCTCAATAGCGACTATCGATGTCAGACATTTGTATCACTGTTGGACTGTTTGTATAGTTAGTGGCACAGACGTCCCCTGCACCACGGCACGGGCAAGCAAACAAACAAACAAACAAACACACACACACACACACACACACACACACACGGCAGCGCTACACACAAACAGGCCGCTGACCGTACGGGCTCACACTCAGCCCCACTCCCGCTGTAACACCCTCCGTCCGCCGCGGCCACGTCCTAACTATACGCCCGGTGGCCGTCCGAGCGCCGGCTGCGGTTCGGTTCGTCCCAGTCACGCAGGAAAGCCGCGGGGCAACTTGGCAGAGCGCGGCTGCGGCGGGGCTCCGCTCGTCGTGGCGGGGGCGACCAGGCACCGCTGGGCTGGAAACCAGTTAGGCGACTTTGGAGCTGGCTCTAATCTCGGACCGGCCGCGCCAAAGCCTAATTAAGCTGTAGTGACTTTCCGTTTTCCCCCTCCCTATCGCTGTCGTTTTCTCCTCCTTAGGAGGAGCTCGCAAGTCACACAACAATAACGATTCCTGACGGCGCGGCTCGCTCTCTGACCTGCGCCATCTTTGAAAACAGTCTTTAGGCAGCGAGTCTTGAAAACAGCAACGTAAAAAGAGGGGGGGGAGCCCTAGACTCAAAACCAAACTTTAAAAACCGATTCAAAGTGCAAAAGCATTAACGGTGCCTGGCCGCATGCCTACCTTCGGCTTGTCGTAATCCCGTCCCCGAAAGCAGGACTAATGACACCAGACAAACGAAAAGTGCGTCCATCGCAGCTCTAAGTTACTCCAGACTCGCGAGCCAGCAGGCTGCCTCTCTAAAAGAACTTCTCCAGTCTTCGCTCGAGGAAAAAAACAAACATCTGATTGGCTGGCGCCGCTGTCACGCCACGCCCAGCTCGCGCGAAACGGCCTCCTCGCTCCCGGCGCTCCACAAACGCCTGTCACGAGCGCCGGTCCGGGCTGCGGCGGCTGCGATCGAGCAGCATGCCAGTGGGAAATGCCAAGATTAATACGTCGGAAGACAGGGGCAGCTGCCAATGTCACGGACATCTTGCTTTGTATGTGAGCCAAACTCTAATCATATGCGGTTACTTTGCAAGTGCATTCAGTTTCGGGAAACACATGCGCAGGCAGACTGACAGTGTCTCAGTCGTTTGTTTTGTATCTTAATTACTTACTGATTGGTTATTTGGTTTATTATAGTAAGAGTTTCCGCTTATGTAAATCAAGTTTATGAAGGTAAAGACGCGGGTTCCTTACTATTGTATATAATATTAATAGTTTTTGTAACATTGACGGTATTAGTAATATTTGATCACGATTTAAATTTTGCATGTGGATTTGTGTCTAGTATTATTTTCTATAATCCAGCGGTGCTATTCTTTCGCAATAACAAATTTCAAAATCACGTCTCAAGCATGCGCAATCTTCACAATCTATAGCCGAAACGTAAACAATGGCAGAAATGCGGGCATAACAATCCACCATGTCTACATCTCTGAAAATCATTTGTGACATTTAACAGTGTGTCGAGCGATTTTTTTTTTAATACAAATGCATATTTACAGTCTATTAATAAGTAAGGAAATCACTAGCGTCAGGTTTTTCCAACACAAATTTACCTATCAAGTGATAGCAAATAAAATAAGAAAAAGCTGAAAAACAGACTAGAAATCGGAGGGGGAAAACTTCGCTTTATATGTATTTATTTTTTCACCATGGCGTCTTAAAATATAAAAGACAGAAAAAAAACATAAAACATAAGGAGCATCTTGTCAAATAAAATCTATAGTACAAAAGAACTGAAATTTGCTACATCCACGAAATCTTTAAAACATTGGTGATATAGTGGGAATCGTTTAATTAGCCTATACAAAACCAAAACTCTCAAGACTAATGTCTATAGATGAACTCACGTGGGAAGTTTATTTTAGTGTAGTATAGGCTTAATATAATGCATATTTAAAAGCGTATATTAGGTTAACAATTAATTTATTTGTAATGATACCGTAAAAGCAAATGATGGTTAGTGAAAGATCAAATGAGTAAGTGCCGCAGGGGAATGTGCGCGTGCCGCGCGCAGCCCTTCGAAGCCGGCTATCAGATTACCGTAAACCACGTTTTGTTTGGGTTTGCTCGTCGCTCTCGCAAAAGCATTATTAGCATACATTTTCTATTGATGTTTTGAAATACAGCTCCTGAACCAATTAAAGACCATTTTAAAATAGTGTTTATAGGAGCTTATAAAGCGTGAATACAATGCCTGGGTGATTTATGAGCCTCCCTTCACTCTATGAATAATTAAACATGTTTTGTAAATTGCTTTCTTCACCTACACAAATAACTGAACGGTATCTGTGTAACATACGCTTAAAAATGTATTTCGTTTACATCTTCTTTGTCGACTGACCTTAAAGTTCAATAACCCAGAGGACGAAAAATTAGCTAATTTTTATATTTGACATAATAACCACTCTCTACAGCTATATACTGGGTTAGACAAGCATGTTTATTTCACCCTTACATTTTTTATTGCTAGTAATAAATAGAAAAAAAACATGCAGCGGTGTATTCCCATTAAGTCTAATATTTTTTGGCAAGAAATTCAACATTTATGCAATCTATTACTTCCTTTAAAAGCTGGTTACAAACACAATATTTGACATAATTTGATGGAGATACTAACATAAATACATCCGCCTGTTTATGGCTTCAGGCCTGAACTTCAGTTGCGTGGCGTGACACCAGCTGTTAAATTAAGATAAAATCTTGAAGGAAGAAGGTGAAGATAAAAGAATTTGCTTCTAACCAAAATATAAATATATAACAGTTATGACACAGAAAAACTAATGCAAAATGTACCACAATCCTGAACTAAATCCAGGAAATATAAAAGAGTAGCTTGTCATGTCTAAACAGAAGTAGTGAATATAGATGAAAGTATAGCTGTTAAGAATTAAGATGTCATTTGTGTGTAAAGTTACGAGATCTGTCAGCATGAACTGTACAGGTGGGATATGGGGGCATTAAGAGGGGATCATGAAAGCACATGGCCGGACACTTTTATTCCTGCGCCCTTACTGGACATCGCCACTTCCCACAGGTCCACACCAGCACACGCTTGCCCAGTCTGTGGGCGGAGACGGATGCCTGGCCATTGTCTGGTCCCAGTCTGGAAGTCTGCTGCTCTTACCGCCGGTTCTGTACTCGCTGCAGGAAAGCGTCCCCAAAGAGAGAATCGGCGTGGAATGCTGAGTTCAGGGTTTTGCAACGCTGTTTGATTGTCAAATGAACTGTGCCCCCAACCCCCCCCCCCTGAAAACAGGCAGGCGGGCACTGGTGGGGGCTTGGCTGGCTGCTCTATCTGCCACCCGCTTCGGCTTTGTGTCACTGTGTCTGAATCTGTTTCACTCTGGGACCTGGTCCCTGCAGGAGAAGGGGGGAGCGAAAGCTGGGCAGGGCGCCTGAGAAGGTCTTTGTCTCTAATACCTCAAGATGTGTGATTCGATTTCATTTTATCGAACGATATGCCGCTTTCTCCACAGTGCTTTCCATTAATGAATGGAATAATTATCTCCAAAGAGCCAAATTAACTTGTCGCCACACAAGACAGGTGTCAAGAAAAACATGAAACACGAGAGCTGTGAGAGGGAATCTCTTCACCTTTCACTGGATTAAAAAAATCTGCCATTTGTTTAATGTTTAACTTACCAATACAGAAATTCTATCAGTAAAAATGGATATGTATATACACAAGTTTAAATGTATACATACACGCACAGACAGCAGTTTACTCTGCGTGAATTAACTTGAAACATGAAGACTTTGGGAAAGATTAGTGAATTGCATGTGGTACGGGGTTATAGAACCAAACAAACGGGGTTATAGAACCAAACATGATTAATCTTAGATGGCACCAAATATTTGTAAAGTTTCTCTGCCTGTAAAGTTTCATTTATGGCTTTTGGTTGCTTTGTTTTTGAGGAATATTACAAGATGCTGCATTTCACTGTTAATTATATGAACATAGAACTACATTCCTCATCATCATTTTCTGTCATTCAGCATGTAACACAAATTGTGTTTTTTTTGTCCTTTAAGATCTTTCCAAGCCCCCCTTTTAAAATGGACCCGTTGTTGTACCATGTGACAGCAAAACTGTTCTTGTTGTACCATGTGACAGCAAAACTGTTCTTGATGTTCCTGACGTGCATCACGTCTTGCTGCTATTTTTAGCATGTCATCAGAACCTGTCACATCAGAACCTTATCCCGGTAAGCACCGGAAGCCTTTTATGCCAGGATGCTCCGGCACCGAGCGAGGAACCAGCTGCGGCCACAGTGCATCCAGGGGTGCATGTGAAAAACACAGTCCGTGATTCCGTGGGTCATGTGTCAAACGACAGCCTTAACGGCTAGTACACGCTAACACGCTAAACCGAATGCTACTGCTCTGAGCCAGGCAGGTCGTCTCGAATACGAGTCTGTTTCGTTAACAGTAAATCATCTGAAAGCTGCAGCTACCAACACAGTCATGCTTTATGTTGTGGTAAAATATTCTGTGTCATAAGTGGCAGTTTGTCCTGGACAGAAACTGGGACACACCAGTCTACGATCAAGGGGAGTGGAAGCTCTGATTATCCCCTGGGGAACACAAGCGCTAGGGACAGTTGTGAGCAGGAGTGAAAGGCAGGAGTGAGAGGCAGGGGTGAGAGAAAGTGGTGAGCGGTAGGAGTGAGTGGCAGGAGTGAGAGGCAGGGGCCCGGCCAGGCCCGTCCGTACTCACGGCAGCAGATGCAGAGGGGCCAGATGGTGCGAGAAAGGACTCTGAAGGTACCTGCCCAGACATCTGGTGAGGCTCCATTAACACCTGAATAGAAGACGACCTTAATGGGCTCCCAGAGCCGTCCGTGTAATGATCTACAGACACCCCAATCAGAGAAGACATCCAGCCCCTATGACCGTTTGACATTCCTGATTGAAACATCAATAAAGCACGAAATAAACCTGCACGCAATGTCAAACTGTACAGGCCATTATCCAGCTGTTATACAGTGAGCTGGTAACCATTGCAGCTGCTATACAGTGAGCTGGTAACCATCACGGCTGATACTAGACACCACACGCAGCAAATTCAGCAGTTACATTTCTTGTAAGGGCAAAGCAGACTAGTTATTTTATTAGGGGAAGATACGGGTCGGTTATTTTACAGGTAGAAAATAAGGTGTCGGATATCAAAGATAGAGAGAAAGAAGCTTTGTTCAGAAATGAAATCTTATTTTTAAAAAATGTACGCTGTTTCACTGTGACAGTGCTGCTTGTTACGTTTTAATTGTAAGGTGGCTTTGTTGTGTATGTTGGCGTGCATTGTATCGCCGTGTCTGTTGGCGCGCATTGTATCGCCGTGTCTGTTGTCGCGCATTGTATCGCCGTGTCTGTTGGCGCGCATTGTATCGCCGTGTCTGTTGGCGCGCATTGTATCGGCGTGTCTGTTGGCGCGCATTGTATCGGCGTGTCTGTTGGCGCGCATTGTATCGCCGTGTCTGTTGGCGCGCATTGTATCGCCGTGTCTGTTGGCGTGCATAGCTTGCCACGACAGCTCCCGCCTTTCAGCAGCCCAGGCCGGTCAGTGACGGCCCGTTGCGAAGACGCCGGCCTTCTCCCCACGCTCGTCTATTTCCAGGACAAACAGCTGGTTACGCTACAGGCTAGCGTAGCGCCATTCCGCTATTCTGGGAAACACAGCGGGACCCAGCCTCGTCAGCGGCGCACTCGCGGCTCTCCGACTCGTGGGCGATTAAGTATGCGGTGCTGTAAGCACTACATGCCGTGCCGTCCTGGGGACCGGCTG